ACCGGTTTGACCTGTTGAGTCAGGCGTCACCTGATGAATAGGCAATGTCAGATAACAGGTGTCAGTAGAAACCCTGCAAAGTAAACCTCTGTAAACCTCTATAAAGAGAGAACACTCTTGTAATCACAGGTTAAGGTTGAAATAAAAGAGAAATGTTCCTCATTCACAAATAATGAGTGAATTCCCACATGGTATCAGAGCAATGGAGACTCAAACATCTGAGCTCTATGCGCAACCTATTCTCAATATTTCAGACTGTGTCACAGTGAAACTCAATGCGAGAAACTATGTTCTGTAGAAATCTCAATTTGAGTCTTTCCTGTCTGGTCAAAACCTGCTGGGGTTCATCAATGGTGCCTTCAAACGCCCTGCTTCCGTTCTCTCTACTCAAGCCACCGATGGTCAAGTCATGGAGACTCCAAATCCGGCATATCACATCTGGCATATATCTGATCAAGTTGTGAAAGCTTGGATCTTGGGGTCACTCACCGAAGATATTCTCAGCGAGGTCGTCAAAGCTAAAACTTCTCAAGAGGTATGGTTGGCTCTCGCTTCTCACTTTAACAAAGTTTCATCATCCCGTCTATTTGAGCTTCAAAGGAAACTGCAAACTGCTGAGAAACAGAATAAGTCTATGAGTGTATATCTTAAGGAGATTAAGGAAGTTTGTGAGCAGTTAACATCAATAGGAATCCTGTGAGTGAGAAAATGAAAATCTTTGCAGCATTACATGGCCTTGGGAGAGATTATGAGCCTATCAAAACCTCTATAGAGGGCTCTATGGATCTTCCTACATGTCCCAGCTTTGAAGATATTATCCCGAGACTCACTAGGTATGATGACAGACTGTTAAGTTATGAAGTGGTTGCTGCTGTGTTTCCTCATGTTGCTTTCTATACCTCTCGAGCTGATGATTCAAGTTACTATCAGAATAACAGAGGAAGAGGTAAATCTTATGGTCGGTTTGGTAACAACAGAGGAAGAGGAGCTTTCACCAAAAAAGGTAGAGGGTTTCACCAGCAAATCTCTTCCACTACCAGCTCTACTTCCTCACCAAATGGAGAAAATCGTCCCACCTGTCAGATTTGTGGCAAACTTGGTCATCCGGCACTCAAGTGTTGGCATCGCTTTAACAACAGTTACCAATATGAGGAGCTTCCCAGTGCTCTAACTGCAATGCGAATCGCTAATGTCACTGATCACAATGGGAATGAATGGGTAGGAGACAGCGGTGCAACAGTTCATGTCACCAACTCACCAAATGACCTACAACAGTCTCAGTCTTACACTGGTTCTGATTCAGTCATGGTTGGAGATGGTTATTATCTACCTATCACTCATACCGGGTCTACAAATCTTCCTTCAACATCAGGTACATCCCTTCCTCTTAATTACTGATGTTCTTGTTTGCCCTGCAGTGAATAAATCACTCTTATCGGTATCTAAGCTCACTAGAGACTACCCCTGCTCTATTGAGTTTGATTCTCATCATGTGCGTATCAATGACAAGGCAACAAAGAAGGTTCTACTTCAGGGCAACAATCGTGATGGGCTGTATGTACTGGAGAGATCACCAAATAAAGTTTTCTACTCTTCTAGACAGCATTATGAAAGTGATGATGTTTGGCATAAGAGATTGGGTCATGCAAATAATCAGGTCCTCCAGCACCTGTCTCAGATTAAAGCAATTCAGATCAATAAGAGCTCCAAGCAGTTGTGTGAGGCTTGTCAACTTGGAAAAAGCTCAAGACTTCCCTTTCTAGTTTATACTTCTGTCTCTAATAAACCATTAGCATTGATCCACTATGATCTTTGGGGAGCTGCACCGGTTATGTCAGTGCAAAATTTTTGATTCTATGTAATTTTCATTGATGACTTCTCCAGATACTGTTGGTTTTACCTGTTAAAGAATAAATCAGAGTTTTACACTATCTTCCTTACATTTCAAGCTCTTGTTGAGAACCAATTTCAGACAAAGATTGGTGTTTTTCAATGTGACGGAGGAGGAGAATTTACTAGCAATAGATTCCTGTTACATTTACAACAGTCAGGGATTAAGCAACAAATCTCGTGTCCTTACATGCCTCAGCAAAACGGGTTAGCTGAAAGAAAGCATATGCACATTACAGAGTTGGGATTATCAATGATGTTTCAAAGCAAAGTCCCTCAAAGATACTGGTTTGAAGCGTTCTTCACAGCAAATATCCTGAGTAATTTGCTACCAACTACCTCATTGCCAAGTAAGTACAGTCCTCATGAAACTTTATTTGGACAGAATCCTCTGTATTCTTCATTGAGAGTGTTTGGATGTGCCCGTTACCCAACTCTAAGAGACTATGCTCACAACAAGTTCGATCCTCGGTCACTTAAATGTGTATTTCTTGGCTACAATATCAAGTACAAGAGATATAGATGCCTGCTACCTACTACAGGACGTGTGTACATTAGTAGGCATGTGATCTTCGATGAATCAGTCTTCCCATTTGCAGACAGTCAGCCTCTACAGCAACAACACAATGTCTCTACACCACTCATACATGCATGGCAAAAGAGTTTTCAACCAGTGGCACCAGTTTCATCAACAAAATCATCAACAACAGCAGCTAATACAGGAGTTCAATCAATTTTTACTCCAGAAGATTTTCCACCCTTGATACCATCCACATTTATAAGCAGAATAAGTCCTGAGTGTATGATAAGGTCAAAATCCTTATTTATAGGCAACAACTTACCTCCCTCACCTAGCAGGATGGATACACCAGTAAGTGCTGAAAAAACTCCAGTTCAAGCATCTTCAGAATCAGCAGTCTCAGAGTCTTCAATGTCTACAACAACAGTATCTCCAAATGCAGTAATTGCAGAGTCAGTGCCTGCACAAGAAACAGCAACAATAGAACATCCAATGATCACAAGAAAGAAAACTGGAGTGGTGAAACCAAATCCTAGGTATGTCCTTCATACTCAAAGAGTTGCATACCCTGAACCAAAAACATGACTGCAGCTCTCAAGGATGATGGATGGACTAATGCAATGAAAGAGGAAATGGGAAACTGTAAGGAAGCTCAGACATGGTATTTAGTCCCATATACACTTGATATGCATGTTCTTGGGAGTAAATGGGTCTTTAGAACCAAACTTAACGCTGATGGGTCCTTAGACAAACTCAAGGCCAGACTCGTTGCAAAAGGTTATGACCAAGAAGAGGGAATTGACTACATAGATACCTACAGTCCAGTCGTCAGAACACCAACAGTAAGGTCCATTCTCCACTTGGCAACCATTACGAAATGGGATATCAAACAGATGGATGTGAAGAACGCATTCTTACATGGCGATCTTACAGAAACAGTGTACATGAGGCAACCAGCTGGTTTTGAAGATCCTGAAAAGCCTGACTATGTGTGTCATCTACACAAGTCAATATACGGATTGAAACAATCCCCAAGGGCATGGTTCAACAAAATAACTACCCACCTGCTTGAGTTTTCATATATACTGCATCTGATCCATCACTATTCGTATACATCAAGAAGAAAGATGTTATATTTCTGCTTCTTTACGTGGACGATGTGGTGCTTACTGGTAACAGTTCTAAGGCCATGGAAACTTTTCTCAGTGACATGAATACTCAATTCAGAATGAAGGACTTGGGACAACTACATTATTTTTTGGGTATTCAAGCTCACTTTCATTCAGAAGGATTGTTTTTGTGCCAACAAAAGTATGCAGAGGATCTATTGGCTGTTGCTGCTATGAGTAACTGTGCACCTGTGGGAACTCCTCTACCTCTTCAACTTGACAGAGTGCCTGAGCAGCAAGTGTTGTTCACCAATCTTAAATACTTTAGGAGCTTAGCAAGTAAGCTTCTGTATCTTACTCTGAAAAGACCCGATATTCAATTTGCAGTAAATTTTGTTTGTAGAAAGATGCATGCTCCTACTGTGTCAGACTTCCTACTGTTAAAGAGGATACTGAGATATATAAAAGGAACCATTACAATGGAGATCTCCTTCAGTATTGTACACTCAAAGCTTACAGTGACAGTGATTGGGGTGGTTGGAAGAATACATTGCGGTCCACAGGTTGATATTGTACCATTCTTGGCAGTAATATCATTTCTTGGTCCTCTAAGAAGCATGATTCTGTCTCCAAAAGCTCAACAGAAGCAGAATACAGAACAATGTCTGATACTGCTTCAGAAATCACTTGGCTCAGTATACTGCTCAAGACCTTGGGTGTACCACTCTTCAACACTCCGGAGTTGTATTATGATAACCTATATGCTGTATACCTGACGGCAAATCCAGCTTTCCATAAGCGCACCAAGCATTTTGCTTTGTCATACCACTATGTCAGAGAAAGGGTAGCCTTGGGAGCTCTAATAGTGAAGCATATTCCGAGAACTCATCAACTTGCGGACATCTTTACTAAGTCACTACCCTATCAAGCCTTCACGTCTCTAAGGTTCAAACTTGGCGTGGACGTTCCTCCCACTCCAAGTTTGAGGGGGAGTATAAAGATGAAGTCTGAAGATAACTCAGAGCTAGCCTCAAAGGAAACAGAGGATGTGCAAAACGACTGTATGTGCAGCGACTCAGAATCAAAAAGGAAAAGAGGAAGTGGGCTGCGAAGTAACAAAGCCCACTTACCATTCCAAGAAAAAGTCACAACGGTCGTCTACATATTCAAACAGAAACGACAAAGACCAGCCAAAAGCAGAACCGTGTGCGAAGAAGATGAGCTGTCGTACGGAAGATCCGATTACGACCAGCAACTGGTTTGACCTGTTGAGTCAGGCGTCACCTGATGAATAAGCAATGTCAGGTAACAGGTGTCAGTAGAAACCCTGCAAAGTAAACCTCTGTGAACCTCTATAAAGAGAGAACACTCTTGTAATCACAGGATAAGGTTGAAATAAAAGAGAATTGTTCCTCATTCACAAATAATGAGTGAATTCCCATAGGTTTCACGGGATTTTTTCCCCATACCATGACATAATATAGTATGTAAAATATTTATTAAGTTTAATAATCTTTTATTTAATATAGTAGGTAGAAGAAGCTCCTTTTATCTATATAGAGCAACTAGAAAGAGGAAACATGAAGATGATCTTGATAGGCATAAAGTGGTTTGGGGCTTTCATGCGAGGCTCTTCCTATCACGGTTCTTGAAGGAGAACCTTGAGCGGAGAAGATCTTGGTTCTTGGTGGTATCTCTTAAGAACGACTGGTACCATAAGCCAGATGCTTTGAGGTCTCTATCAGCAGTGACATTATTGAAGTCAACGTAACTAAGTCCGAATCTGACGGTGAAGCCGTTGCAGAATTTGTAGTTATCCCCAAGAGCCCAAGCAAAGTATCCTTTCACGTTGACACGCTTCTCCCTAGAAACAAGAACATTTTTGAATTATTGACTTATCATAATTAAATATGTATGTCTCATATATATAAAGAACAATGGAAGAAGAGTAGCATCCACTAACTTGATGGCCTTACGGACAGAGATGACTGCAGCACGTAATCGGTAAAGGGTATGTCGCCACCGGCGGTACTGATAATTCCTAAATCCACATGTATAGATGAAAGAGATGAATAGTAGAACGCACCGTTTTCGGTGACATAGATCAAAGGGTCACCGTATTTGGTTTTGAAGTGCTCCATTACGTTTAACATGCCTCTTGGGTGGTAATAACTGTCTTTAGAGAATTGAGAAAGGGAAGATAATATAGAATCATAAGAATGGATTTTTTTTTTTTTGCGTAAAAATGAATGAAAGAATAAAGGTGAATCATGCATACCGGTGGACCAGGGGGTTGACCATTTACATCAAAAGCTGTAGGATGATATAGTTTTGATTGTCACAAAATGTTGTGATTAAAAAGAGAGAATAGAAAGTTTGTAACTAAGTGAAAATAGAGTGGTACATGTGAGGTTTGCGAGTAAGTCCGTCATGACAATGAGTTTCCGGAGGACTTGGGCGTGGGCGTACTGAGTGACGTAATAGTTGAGACCAAGAAAATCATATGAACCCTTTACAAGGGCAGCTTCTGTTTCATTGAACTCTGGAAGCCGATCTCCCACATATTCCCTCATGATGTCTGGGTATTTACAATGTTTGAGGAAGGTCCCAATGAAAGAGGGTAACAAAAGGCTCTATACTCTTATTTTTAAGGCCATCTATGAGATCGCTGTAGTACTTAATACCATCTTCGTTGATTCCTCTACTCGTCTATATCTTTCCTTCTGCTCATATATATATATATATATTACTCTTTCATTCAAACAATCTATCACAATGGAATATATATATACATGGATAAATTATAGCCATTAATCTTTTTATAGCCATTACATTTCTTTTATTGGTTATTCATATATAAATATATTAAAAACAACACAGATTTATTTCTTATTAACCAAACAAAATTTTCGTCCTATAAGTGTTGCAGCGGGATTAGACAAAAGTTCTCGGGATTGAGCATCAATTATTTCTTGGAGCTCTTGTTTTGCTTCTTGAGAAAACAGAGATATCAAAGACTTGAAGTTGAGAAGTTCTCGGTTTATTAATCGAATTAAAAAAACAATAAATACCTTTTTGAACCTACTTATATAATCGTAAGAGATAGACATCGGTTCTCTTGAGCGCGAGTCAAAAGAACCAAATGTTTTTTTTGTCATTAGTAGTAACCATGCAAAGAACCAATCAAACCCATAATATTCAATATACTAGTAGTAATTAGTGTGGCATATTATAATCTTCGAAAATGTTGCTGTTTAATTGAGTAAACAAATATTCATTCACGAAAGAGCTTTTGGTTTATGGATGTGGAACAAACTACTAACAAACTTCGTGGTAATACTAACACATCAATATCATACCATGGAAAATACAGAATTAAGAGAGCAACTAAGTGAGATTTTATATCCAAAGATCATAATTGTTATAACTTCGCAGAAATACACGTGGAAAACTATAAATCAATACTCTCTCCTCCCACCAAAACTTACTTTTCAATCTCAGCTTTATAGTTATCCCCAATTCCACATACATTTATATGATATATATGTTAATTTTCATGAGTTTGTTTAGTGACATTACCTACTCAAAAACTCAGAATCTTGGGAGCAATTTGAATCAAAGGCTCTAAAGCACTCGGAGAAAACTTTCTAGCAAAGAGATAACACATGGATGTGTAGCCACCATTGTAAGTGCAGTTATCACCTTTGAGAACCCATGCAAAGAACTCCTCACTGATGTCTTGTGCTCCAAATGTAGCTGGGTGGGCACCACCTCTCGACCAGTCGACCCAAGTCACACTTCGATTGGCCAAGGCCGCCGGTTTCTCAATTGTCAACATTGTTGGGAAATAATGCTCGTCCACGTAACAAGCAGGTTTACAAAACTGTTTGAATTTAGGGTAATACAAGGTATCTTTGACAATGGAAACCGCAAGCTCCCGGTTAACCTCAAACCATTGAGACCCTTTTCTCCATTGGTTTATGGAAACTTCAGGGGCCATGTTGCCGTGGTAGCGGCCTCGGCCATAGGGACTAGGATCATCAAATGAACCCATAAAGCTGTGCTTTGATTTGGTTATGTAAGTGTAGATAGTTGTGAAGTTGAAGAGGGGAATGCATGACTCGGAGAGGAGAACAAACCATTCGTTTGAGATATCGAGTAGCGCATTGGCAAGAAGCCGCCTCTCTGCATCGCACATTGTCATTCTTCCCCATTCTGCAACCTGCCCAATGGTGAAGATAATCCAATTACAATTAGATATATACAAACAAGTTACAACTAGTCAATAAATCACAAGTTTTCCAACAAATAGAATCGCTAATGCGAAAAGAAAACAAAATCTTACAAAGTAGATGAAGAGCTAGTACCTGACTTGGTATATGCCTACGGTAGAAAACAGAGGAAGCTGGAAACTTGGCTGAAGACGATACTGTTGAATGGATGTAAACTGAATAATGCTTCTCATGACCCTTTAATAACCTTTCCCAAAGCGGTGCAAGCGGCAAAGGACCCATTGTCAAGAACATAAACGCGATTTTCGGCACCCTATTAAACGGATACTCTTTCCTCTTAGGCATGAAAGACGCACGCCAAAGAAGTTCTTCATCGCTCATATTATGCATGAGAACCATAGGAGGTTTAATCCATTTATGAAGATCGTTTCTTTTCTCGTGGCAAGGCACAAAACTAGACGTGACTGAAGTCACTACACTATTGATTCCATAATACTTGAATGTGGATACACTAATGAAGAACAAAACAACAGTAAAAGCTAGAAAAAATCCTAGCAAGAGAAGTAACTTGAAAGGAAACGCCTTATTTAGCCCGGCCCGGCCGCCCGTAACTACAATATCTTTACCTTCTTCCAACTGAATAACCCTACTCTGCATCCTTACACTAGATATGAAAAAAATAGGCGTCTTGTTATATCTGCTTCTGAACCAAGAACATCAAAGTAACATCAAAAATCAAATTTTGATTGCAATGTAAACAATGTGGATTACTATTTTACTTGCAAAATCCTAAAACTGAAACAAAAATTCTCATGGACCAGCCCAATCAAACTCTTTTCCACCATCTTAATATACTCATGGACCAGACTAATCAATTCCACAAAACAGAATCAACAAAAGTCTCCAACATTTTCAATATAAATCCACAGAATAGCTAGCTGATTCAGTTCTTGCAATCTTCAACCATAATTAGAAACCGTCAAAAATCCTTTTTAAGTAAAAGAAATAAAATCAAGAGCTACTTCAATAAAATATCAGAAATAAATAATGTAAAAAAGACTTACAATGGTTGGAAGAGCTTAAGAATCCGTGTAGAAGAAACTTGGAGACGATGGATTTTATTAAAAAGGTGAAGACTCTTCCATAAGTCAGAGAAACTTGGAGCTTTCGTGTAGAGCAGTGACCATTTTCAGTAAATTCGACTCTGAAAGTTTCAAAAAAGTGAAGACTCCATAAGTCAGAGAAGGTTAGGTATCCAAAGCCGTCCTATTATTACATCCTCTAAGGCAACTAGAGTGTTTGGTTTCTAAGATGTTCGGTTCGGACCACTTTATTCCTAACATTTTAGTTCCAAACTTCAAAGCCTGTATTAAGGGTTGACTTTTATAATAATATTAGCTTCTTTTTTTTCCCTTTTTTCAAATAAGATTTGGATTAGTATGTATTTTAACATAAGAAATGTTAATATGGTAACTCTTTTTTGTTTTAACAAAAACTCTTAAATATTTTATACGTTTTTTTTGTGTGCTATAATTTTTGTAATTTTATTAATCAACCACTATGTAATAAGATCAGTAATATCACAACTCTATCCTCTCGAAAATAAAATATCGCTATATAAATCTTTCTGATTCAAAATAAATGATGTCTTAATGATTTTTTTTCTTCAAATTAAATGATCTTTTCATTTTTATGCAAAATTTATTAGTTTTTATATTTTTAACTATTGGTGTTACACACTTATTTTATCATTGGTTCAATTGTGTTTATGTAAATAATAAATGATTTACTCACCAAAAAAAATGATTTTTTTTTATTTCAAAAAAAGCTAAAATTAAATAGTTTATTAACTTATATGCAAAAACCTTAAACAACAAATATTTTGAAAGAGATATTATTAACTGGTAGTATTTTTTTCACATCACAATGTAGTACTTTAGTCAACTCTGAAATCTTGTATAATCAATCGAATTCAATAGTATTAACTTGGTGTGATTCTTGACAAATCCATTGTAGACATTTTATAACGGATATGTAATATAAATTTTAAGTAAGACATAAGATAAGCGGCTCCATGAACAACTCCATAAATTTTTGACCTAGGGTTTTTGTCTCAAAATGAAAAATGTTTGTGAAGCCGTTCATTATAATCGTATGTGTTGCATGTACTTAGATATGATAGATTTTTCATCATCATGTGTAATAGGATTATATGAAAAAATCTATGATGATATTGGGCCTGATTGGTTCCGGCTGTAGCTTTAGCCTTTAGGTTTTTGACTCTAGATTTTAGGCTGTAGATGTTTTGGCTGTGATTGTAGATTTTAATGCTATAGTAATTTTGCTGTAGAATTTAAAATTTTGGAAAGTTGAATTGTAGAAGATGACAAATATATATCTAAACAACATATACGATTTTCATATAGTATAGATTACATAGATTCGGTTTCCTTATTTTAAATCATTCTAAACTGAACATAATTGATTTTTTAAAATTCGTAGAACAAAAGAGTAAATAGTTGACAACTTAACACGTAAAATGTTGACAACATATTCTAACTTTAGCATAACATAAAGTAAACTGTAAAATAATATTCCAAACTTCGTAAACATATTGAAAATCTAAATTTAGAAATATTAGAATGTAAATTAATTCGTAGAATATGTATAGTGCCTAAAATACATAATCTAAACTTTCTAGAACATATATAAAAGGTAGAAGAAATATTCTAAACTTAGCGGAACAAATTTAATTGATCCCAAAATCTATCTATTCTCAGCTATTACAAAGTTTCTATATATATATATATATATTACTCTTTCATTCAAACAATCTATCACAATGGAATATATATATACATGGATAAATTATAGCCATTAATCTTTTTATAGCCATTACATTTCTTTTATTGGTTATTCATATATAAATATATTAAAAACAACACAGATTTATTTCTTATTAACCAAACAAAATTTTCGTCCTATAAGTGTTGCAGCGGGATTAGACAAAAGTTCTCGGGATTGAGCATCAATTATTTCTTGGAGCTCTTGTTTTGCTTCTTGAGAAAACAGAGATATCAAAGACTTGAAGTTGAGAAGTTCTCGGTTTATTAATCGAATTAAAAAAACAATAAATACCTTTTTGAACCTACTTATATAATCGTAAGAGATAGACATCGGTTCTCTTGAGCGCGAGTCAAAAGAACCAAATGTTTTTTTTGTCATTAGTAGTAACCATGCAAAGAACCAATCAAACCCATAATATTCAATATACTAGTAGTAATTAGTGTGGCATATTATAATCTTCGAAAATGTTGCTGTTTAATTGAGTAAACAAATATTCATTCACGAAAGAGCTTTTGGTTTATGGATGTGGAACAAACTACTAACAAACTTCGTGGTAATACTAACACATCAATATCATACCATGGAAAATACAGAATTAAGAGAGCAACTAAGTGAGATTTTATATCCAAAGATCATAATTGTTATAACTTCGCAGAAATACACGTGGAAAACTATAAATCAATACTCTCTCCTCCCACCAAAACTTACTTTTCAATCTCAGCTTTATAGTTATCCCCAATTCCACATACATTTATATGATATATATGTTAATTTTCATGAGTTTGTTTAGTGACATTACCTACTCAAAAACTCAGAATCTTGGGAGCAATTTGAATCAAAGGCTCTAAAGCACTCGGAGAAAACTTTCTAGCAAAGAGATAACACATGGATGTGTAGCCACCATTGTAAGTGCAGTTATCACCTTTGAGAACCCATGCAAAGAACTCCTCACTGATGTCTTGTGCTCCAAATGTAGCTGGGTGGGCACCACCTCTCGACCAGTCGACCCAAGTCACACTTCGGTTGGCCAAGGCCGCCGGTTTCTCAATTGTCAACATTGTTGGGAAATAATGCTCGTCCACGTAACAAGCAGGTTTACAAAACTGTTTGAATTTAGGGTAATACAAGGTATCTTTGACAATGGAAACTGCAAGCTCCCGGTTAACCTCAAACCATTGAGACCCTTTTCTCCATTGGTCTATGGAAACTTCAGGGGCCATGTTGCCGTGGTAGCGGCCTCGGCCATATGGACTAGGATCATCAAATGAACCCATAAAGCTGTGCTTTGATTTGGTTATGTAAGTGTAGATAGTTGTGAAGTTGAAGAGGGGAATGCATGACTCGGAGAGGAGAACAAACCATTCGTTTGAGATATCGAGTAGCGCATTGGCAAGAAGCCGCCTCTCTGCATCGCACATTGTCATTCTTCCCCATTCTGCAACCTGCCCAATGGTGAAGATAATCCAATTACAATTAGATATATACAAACAAGTTACAACTAGTCAATAAATCACAAGTTTTCCAACAAATAGAATCGCTAATGCGAAAAGAAAACAAAATCTTACAAAGTAGATGAAGAGCTAGTACCTGACTTGGTATATGCCTACGGTAGAAAACAGAGGAAGCTTGAAACTTGGCTGAAGAAGATACTGGTGAATGGATGTAAACTGAATAATGCTTCTCATGACCCTTTAATAACCTTTCCCAAAGCGGTGCAAGCGGCAAAGGACCCATTGTCAAGAACATAAACGCGATTTTCGGCACCCTATTAAACGGAAACTCTTTCGTCTTAGGCATGAAAGACGCACGCCAAAGAAGTTCTTCATCGCTCATATTATGCATGAGAACCATAGGAGGTTCAATCCATTTATGAAGATCGTTTCTTTTCTCGTGGCAAGGCACAAAACTAGACGTGACTGAAGTCACTACACTATTGATTCCATAAAACTTGAATGTGGATACACTAATGAAGAATAAAACAACAGTAAAAGCTAGAAAAAATCCTAGCAAGAGAAGTAACTTGAAAGGAAACGCCTTATTTAGCCCGGTCCGGCCGCCCGTAACTACAATATCTTTACCTTCTTCCAACTGAACAACCCTACTCTGCATCCTTACACTAGATATGAAAAAAATAGGCGTCTTGTTATATCTGCTTCTGAACCAAGAACATCAAAGTAACATCAAAAATCAAATTTTGATTGCAATGTAAACAATGTGGATTACTATTTTACTTGCAAAATCCTAAAACTGAAACAAAAATTCTCATGGACCAGCCCAATCAAACTCTTTTCCACCATCTTAATATACTCATGGACCAGACTAATCAATTCCACAAAACAGAATCAACAAAAGTCTCCAACATTTTCAATATAAATCCACAGAATAGCTAGCTGATTCAGTTCTTGCAATCTTCAACCATAATTAGAAACCGTCAAAAATCCTTTTTAAGTAAAAGAAATAAAATCAAGAGCTACTTCAATAAAATATCAGAAATAAATAATGTAAAAAAGACTTACAATGGTTGGAAGAGCTTAAGAATCCGTGTAGAAGAAACTTGGAGACGATGGATTTTATTAAAAAGGTGAAGACTCTTCCATAAGTCAGAGAAACTTGGAGCTTTCGTGTAGAGCAGTGACCATTTTCAGTAAATTCGACTCTGAAAGTTTCAAAAAAGTGAAGACTCCATAAGTCAGAGAAGGTTAGGTATCCAAAGCCGTCCTATTATTACATCCTCTAAGGCAACTAGAGTGTTTGGTTTCTAAGATGTTCGGTTCGGACCACTTTATTCCTAACATTTTAGTTCCAAACTTCAAAGCCTGTATTAAGGGTTGACTTTTATAATAATATTAGCTTCTTTTTTTTCCCCTTTTTTCAAATAAGATTTGGATTAGTATGTATTTTAACATAAGAAATGTTAATATGGTAACTCTTTTTTGTTTTAACAAAAACTCTTAAATATTTTATACGTTTTTTTTGTGTGCTATAATTTTTGTAATTTTATTAATCAACCACTATGTAATAAGATCAGTAATATCACAACTCTATCCTCTCGAAAATAAAATATCGCTATATAAATCTTTCTGATTCAAAATAAATGATGTCTTAATGATTTTTTTTTTTCAAATTAAATGATCTTTTCATTTTTATGCAAAATTTATTAGTTTTTATATTTTTAACTATTGGTGTTACGCACTTATTTTATCATTGGTTCAATTGTGTTTACGTAAATAATAAATGATTTACTCACCAAAAAAATGATTTTTTTTTATTTCAAAAAAAGCTAAAATTAAATAGTTTATTAACTTATATGCAAAAACCTTAAACAACAAATATTTTGAAAGAGATATTATTAACTGGTAGTATTTTTTTCACATCACAATGTAGTACTTTAGTCAACTCTGAAATCTTGTATAATCAATCGAATTCAATAGTATTAACTTGGTGTGATTCTTGACAAATCCATTGTAGACATTTTATAACGGATATGTAATATAAATTTTAAGTAAGACATAAGATAAGCGGCTCCATGAACAACTCCATAAATTTTTGACCTAGGGTTTTTGTCTCAAAATGAAAAATGTTTGTGAAGCCGTTCATTATAATCGTATGTGTTGCATGTACTTAGATATGATAGATTTTTCATCATCATGTGTAATAGGATTATATGAAAAAATCTATGATGATATTGGGTCTGATTGGTTCCGGCTGTAGCTTTAGCCTTTAGGTTTTTGACTGTAGATTTTAGGCTGTAGATGTTTTGGCTGTGACTGTAGATTTTAATGCTATAGTAATTTTGCTGTAGAATTTAAAATTTTGGAAAGTTGAATTGTAGAAGATGACAAATATATATCTAAACAACATATACGATTTTCATATAGTATAGATTACATAGATTCGGTTTCCTTATTTTAAATCATTCTAAACTGAACATAATTGATTTTTTAAAATTCGTAGAACAAAAGAGTAAATAGTTGACAACTTAACACGTAAAATGTTGACAACATATTCTAACTTTAGCATAACATAAAGTAAACTGTAAAATAATATTCCAAACTTCGTAAACATATTGAAAATCTAAATTTAGAAATATTAGAATGTAAATTAATTCGTAGAATATGTATAGTGCCTAAAATACATAATCTAAACTTTCTAGAACATATATAAAAGGTAGAAGAAATATTCTAAACTTAGCGGAACAAATTTAATTGATCCCAAAATCTATCTATTCTCAGCTATTACAAAGTTTCTTCCTTAAGTCCTTCTTCCTTCGTGCTTGTCAAAGTGTTTTTTTTTTTCCAATAAAATTTAGTTAAATTAATTATAAAAGTAAAATGTTAAATTAGGCATAAATCACAGTTAATAAATAAAGATATATATGGACAAATCGCAAAAAAAAAAAGTGTCATTTATTTCTAATTTTCCAAATTTGTTTAAACTGAGAAAGATGAATCTTATCCTTAGTCAAAAGAATGCATTAACAAAGAAAATTTTAGGCAAGGATTAAAAAGTTTAGGCGATAAAAAAGATAGTCAAAGGATTAACTTGGGTGCAAAACAGGAAAGACAAAAAAAAGTCAAAAGGATTAACTTAATTACGTTTTGCACCGACTTAAAAGCAAACCAAAATATAGGATCGGAGTAGTAATTACCGGAGCATTCATATTTAGTAAGTTAAGCTGATTTTCATAGCACGAAGAATTGACCAAACGTTTGCAAATCTGCAGACTATTTTTAATAATGGATATGAGATTTCCGTTTTCTCAATCTTTATGTGTGATAGTACCATATTAATTATTTAAAAAAAAAAAAAAAAAAAAAAACCATTAGGTTTTGTTAACTCTATAAGTATGAAAGTTCAAGATTCAAAGCCTAGCTATATCCTAATTCTATTCCTTTAACCTAGGGAAAACACACAAAAAGCCGCAATGAGATTGTTCTTAGTGTTTGCGATTCTGTGGGGCTTATTTTATAATGTAGCCTATGGGAAAGGTTCTTTAGATATTGATATGAAACTGAAGGCTCTTAATAAGCCTGCGTTGAAGACCATCAAGGTATGGACTGAATCTGAATGCGAAGATATAACATTTTATGTATATTTTTTGGTTTCTAAGCTCCCAAATCGACTGTAATTTATTTATAGAGCGAAGATGGAGATATAATAGATTGTATAGACATCTATAAACAACATGCCTTTGATCATCCGGCTTTAAGGAACCACAAAATTCAGGTAAACAAATTCTACTTTGTGACTATCATATAAAAATAATATTTTAGTAAAAATACATTTTGTTTGGACCTATCTTAACCTAATCTACATTTATGCATGCAGATGAAACCAAGTATAGAATTTGGTACAAAGAAGACTACTATACCAAACAACGGTTCTTCTGAACTAATTACGTCTCAGATTTGGTCCAAATCCGGAAACTGTCCCAAAGGGACAATACCGGTTCGTAGAGTTAGTAGAGAAGACATAAGCAGAGCCTCTTCACCGTCTCATTTTGGGAGAAAAACTCCACACAGATATAGCTTTCTCGACAAGGCACTTCAACACAAGGGTAATTTCAATATAACAGCTGAAAAAATAACTCATGCCCGCCCAAAGCTTCGATCGGTACGTCAAATATATTTAATTTTGTTATTCGTGTTTAGTCTCTGAATTCATAATTTATACTTTTCCTTTTTTTTCTTCATAAAAATCAAAAGAGAACAAAAAAAAAACACATCCATTCGAAAGCTAAATCGTTAGACTAAAACCTCTTTATATGGCTAACTAGAAACACTTGTTGTTTGTTGACGGTATAGGAGGCAGTCCTTATCGCCTTAGGGTTTAATTTTATTGGAGCTCAATCCGATATAAATGTATGGAACCCTCCGAGGGTTCAGGCTAGCGATTACAGCTCTGCTCAGATATGGCTTCTTGGTGGCCTCTCAGATACTTTTGAAAGCATAGAAGCTGGTTGGGCGGTACACTTTTCCATCCCTAAATACTATATCACATTTGAAGTATATCTAAACTGATCTCCATTAACCTATATTTTCAGGTGAATCCACGCGTTTTCGGAGACTCCCGCACACGTCTCTTCACTTATTGGACTGTAAGTAATATCATTATATGACTACTGACTTTATAACATCTCAAATCTCTAATCTCTTCCATGAGTTTATAACTACTCTTTCTATTTGGATTTGTAGAAAGATGGATACACTAAAACAGGGTGCGTCAACCTCTTATGCGCGGGTTTTGTGCAAACAACTACTAAGTTAGCCTTGGGTGCAGCAATAGAACCTGTTTCGACTACCTCGCAAAAACAACATTACATCACCGTCAGCATGTTCTTGGTAATAATTTTGCCTTACATTACTCATATTCAATATTTTATTTATGGTTTAACATTGTTGTTTTTTAGTTTTTTTTCTTGGGGTCTAATTCCCATATATAACTTCATATTTATAATGTTTTATGTTGTAAATTTCCAACCGCCTAAAATTGAGCAGTGATCCAGCGCAAGGTGATTT